GAGGAGGAGAGTGCGTTCTGGGGTCGTCAATCGGTTCAAATATCAAAGTATCAACGTATCAACGTCACCATATTCGCAACATGTAGCTTGCTCGACCACATCTTGCCGGGGTACTTTCACGGGGTACCGTCCAGCGCTTCTCGTTGACGTGGCCGTCTTTCGAGCGCTTCTGCACGACCAAGCGCCGTCCCTCTGCCATCATTTGGACACGCTGGGCTTTCCGCTGGACGCGCTCGTCCAGCGCTGGTTCATCTCGGTGTTTACCGCCACGCAGCTACCGCTCTCAACGGTACGACTTGAGAAAAGGGGCCTCGACCAAAGCGTGCTCGTAGGTGCTTCGCATTTGGGACCTGGTGTTTGCCCAAGGACTGCGCATTCTGTTTGGGATTGGCATCGGCCTGCTGCTCAAGACGGAAGAGCATCTCTTTAGCGCGGCGACCGTTCCGGATGTGTGGTTGGCGCTGCATGCGTCCGAGCGCAGCACGGTGGACGCCGACGGCCTCTTTGCCCACGTGTTCAAAGACGATCTGCACATGCCATGTATATATATTGTGGAAGATATTGTCCATATTGACGTGGAACGTGGTTAGGGCTCACGGACGAGTTGCTGGAGCGACTGCGGCAGCACGAGCGCACGACGCTTTTGGCGTCGATTGCGAGTCGGGTGCGAGGCGCGTGCCGCAGCGACGTGGTGCTGAACATAGCTCGCTCGTAGATTGCCAGCTGCCACGCCAAGCTGAGTGTGTTGAGCCGCGCCCAAGAAACGTACCAGTCGCTTCTCCAAGCCGTCGAGATCTATGACGAGCTCGGCAACCGTACGCCAGTACGACGACGACGATCGGTGTCTGAACGTCGGTGCGGTAGAGGAGGTCATGGGCACGCTTCGTCGCCAGCTCGGCGATGCGGACGCAACCGCGATGGAGCTTGTGGTTGCTTTCAAAGAGCACCAAGCGCGGTGGGTTGCCTTGTCGAGCCAGGTGGCCGCGTGTCCGCTGGGACTCCACGGGCATGCGTCAGACGTCCAGAGCTGGCTCACGCAAGTCAAAGAAGGCAAGATCTCGGGGGCAGGAACCGACGCCGCCGCGAACCAAGCGTTCGCGTGTCTCTTTCCATCTGACGCGCCGCTGCCCGACCCGTTTGAGCTCTCGGTCGACACGATGGCTGGTACGGCGTCGCGGCCAACGTCGACTGACCTTGTCTAGAGCGCTTCTTGTTCGGGCTCGTCATGGTCGCCAAGAGCGCATGCGCGGCGCGACTGCACTTTTTGGCCGCGCGCCAAGTGGCGTGGTGGCATCGTGGGCAGTGGCTCTCAACCGCAAGCGTTGAGAAGAAGGCGTTCGTGTCCGACGTCGGCGGTGGCCTCGAGCCAAAGGACTATGGCGTCGCCGAAGGGCAGTTCCTCGAACGCGCCGAGCGTCTCCAAATGTGTCTGCAGCATTTTGCGACCGCCGACGGCGGGCCACTCCAAGCGACGGCCGATGTCATGGCGGTCGATCTCAAGGAGAGCTTTTTACGGGTCGAGAGTGCAATCCGAGGCCCGTCCTGGCTTCCGTAGCCTGCGATGTCGTAGCAGGCATCCTCCCACGGTGGTTGTCTATAACGTTTTTTGTGCGTTGTTTCTTCGTGATGCAAGTGGTCCGGCAAGGGATCGATCGATCGGTTGGTGACCACTGGAGGCGTTGACACCCAACGCGAGTTGCCGTCGAGTCTCGGCTAGTAGTTGCGTAGCTGCCCCTTGGATCGCATGCAAATGTGTGGATCACTTGTGGCGCGAAGTGCTTGCGCGATGGGGGTGGCGTGTCGCACACGCTGAATGTGACGTGTTTCGAGCGCTCTTTTGCACGGACTGGCTACCAGAAGCGCGATACAAGCGCGTCGATTCATCACGTTCACTTGGGTTCGGTCGCAAGCGAGGGTCGGAGCAGTCGTCGCACGGGACATCGCCCACCACTCGCACGCAATATACATCAGGTAGCGACGTCGGGATCATCGTGAGACGGCTGGACTCGAGGAGTACCTCAATGCGTCTTTGCGTCGTTTGGTATCCCTTGGCTGCTACTATTGTACCGACTACGGACGCACAGCAAGCCTACAGTTGTACGTGACCAACCCGCGTGGACACAAGACGCTACATCTTCGGCAGTCGAACGATTGATTGGACTGTCCACCGAGTGTGATCCAATCTGACGCAGCCGTTTTTTTCATGTCATATTGTATCCGGCCTGATGATGGCCATCGCATCCGGAACCGGATATTTCTCCGCCAATCAGATCGTCGCCGCCAGCCACATCGACCATCTCGACACTTCCCAAGACGCCGCTGCATCGAGATGCTCTCGCTGGAGAAGAACCGCCACGACATGATCGCAGGCGCAATCGCGGGCTCGGTCACGGCCAGCATGTGCTGCCCGCTGGACGTGGCCAAGACGCGCATCCAGGCCCAAGGTCATCGTCTCCATCACCTCCCGCTTGCTCATCTTGGCGGCAGGCGGCGTCTTGGCGTTTAGCAAGTACAATGGCATCTTCCGCAGCGTGCATACGATCTACGTCGAAGAAGGTGTGCGCGGCATGTACCGCGGCTACTCGGCGGCGATGCTGAGCTTCCCCGTGTACTTTTCGCTCTACTTTCCGACCTACGAGTGGGTCAAAGCGCAGTTCAACACGACAGCGTTGAGCAACGTACTACTACGCGA